ACCTGAGGTTTTGATTTTGCCCAGCCCAGGGTACGGATCAAGTATATTAGTTGCCTCAGTACTGACTCTCGCCAGCCCATGCAAGGAGCCAGTCCAGCACCCAGGGACGGCTCGGCAGGATAACAACCTGGATCCAAACCCCATCTCTGCCACTTGGTAGCTATTAGACTTTGGGAGTTGGTAACTTCTGTGTTCTTTCATGTTTTCTTTCTATACATATAATCTGCACAGCTAGTATGTATCCATCCTTATGGTAAGTACTAAGAAAGCTTTTCCATCACGGAACTTTTCTGCTTGGGAGAGGGCAGACATATATTGCAACCGGAACCTCTTAGACTTCTGTCCCATCTACAGCATAAGAAGAGAGGCTGTTCTTTAAATCTCCTCAGGCTTTTTTGAAAATAGCATGCAATAAAATGTTGGGATATGGGAAGGGGGACATAAATTTATGCCAGTAGCTGTGAGGTATGTTTTACTGTTATTCTCTTGTTGCATAAAATCATGGTATGAGCTGAGCTTTATTATGCCATTTTGAAGATGGACAAATTAAAGTTCACAAAAAGCAGGAGGGTTATTATACTCAGTTAATAAGTATGTGTCGAGAGCATTCTTCATGCCAGGAACCGAGTGCAGAAGATGCTGGCCCCAGTGGCTGAGCCAGACTCAGGCATGTTTACACTGCCGTGACCTAGAGAGGGGGAGATGGGCACGGAGCGAGAAGTTCCAGGTGTGGTGCCGTCCAAGGAGCAAGGCACTGGAAGGATAGAACAAGAAAAACTGACCTAGTTTGAGGGTTAGGGAAGCCTGCTAGGAGGAATTACCTTTAAAGCAGAGACCTGATGGAGAAATTGGCGTTAGCAAGACAGAGAGGAGGTGTGCTCCAGGCAGAACACTGTGTGGGAAGGACAGTAAGGGTGAAGCATGAGGCCCAGGACAAAAGACTACAGACCAAAGGATGCATGACCCCTGGGACCAGATTCCACAGGTCACATGATGGAGCTTGGACTTGCGTGAAGAGTGGCTGGGAGCCTCTGAAGTAGCTGAGTGGGGAAGTAACTTGATCAAATGTCCATTTTAGACAGATGGCTTTGGTTGCTGAATGAAGAAGAGAATGTGAAGAACAGGAGCAAGCCACGAGACCAATCAGGACCCTGTTACCATGTGCTGCTGGGAGGCAGTGGTGGTGACAGGGCTCGGAAGAAAGGCGGCAGAGATGGCAAAACGCAGGGCAGTTTTGTAGGAATTTGGGACAAGTTCCTTGTGTTTGTCCCGAGGGCGCGAGTACGTGGCAGTACCATTTTCAGAGAACTGAGGAGGCAGAGACTGGAGGTCTGCCAGCACCCCAGCCTCACCGGAGCAGACTGAGGTCATGTAAGAAAGATGGGGAGTGACTTATAGAAACAAGAAGGCAAATACGAAAGCGTCGAGGAATGGGATGCTGGGCAGAAACGACTGGGAAGGTGAGAGCAGGCGAAGGTGAGCCGAAGCCATGGCGGAGGGAAGGAGGGAGCTGATGGAAAGTGAGAGAGCAAAGGGCCGGCGGCCGCTTCTCGCTCGGGAAGGCAGTGTGGTGGCAACGGGGCTCAGGTCCCGGCCTTCACGAGCGAACCAAACCCTCTCCCATGATAGCACCATCTTTTCCTCCAAAGAGTCCAATACCGGTGGCCTGAGCGCCTGCTTCTCTCACCAGGAGGAGTGGACAGACCACCAGACTCTCTAGTCCAGAAATTCCAGGGACTGGCCCGCCTCCGGGCAGAGTGCAGGCGTGGCAGGTGGATGTGGTTTTTTATGGTTTTCTCCCCACAAAAATTACTTTTCCTCAGGAAGGAACTGAGCGTGTGGGATGTAACCTTTGGGTCCCCTTTCTGAAAGCATTAATCCTTTGTCGGGGGCTGTGACAGGCATCTTAAAAGACGAGCATTTTTCTCCCATTGCCAGTCTGTCTGTTGTGGCTAGAATACCAAATCTGAACAAACAGCTCTCTCCAGGGTGTCGTCTTTGTGTTTTTCTCGGGGATGGCTCTCGCTCCAGGCAGGCTGTGCCTGACTCTCATAAGGACCATTCGGCTGAGGACGCAGTGAGTGAACAGGGCCAGCACCTCCCATATCCACTTTGACTTTTTGATCTTTTTCTGCCCGTGCCAGTGGCGTCTCACTGCGACTTCTCCCCGACTGACAGATTTGCTCTTCCTGGGTTCCAGTGCCCGATCCCATCACCATCAAAAGCCCGCATACTTGGGAAAGCCTGTGGGAAAGGCAGCAGTCTTCTAAAGATACAGATTACCTGCACATCTGTTTGGCTTTAGTTAAACATGACTGACTAATTTATCCTGCAGTGTGACATGAGGATCCATTTCCGTTGCAAGTTGACTTGGCAATTTTCTCTGCTTAGGGAGTGTTTAGAATAGATGGCGTGCATGGCAAATGAGAAGAAATAAATGCTATTAATTTTTCATTTTTGAGTGTGAGGTTAGCTGTAGAGTCCACATCACATTTCCTCAGAGAAATAGACCACATCCTCTCCTGTTTAGATGTGAGCACTTCCTCCAGAGGTGCCAGGACCTGCCCCTTTGGCCGGTCCCGGTACCCGGGCAAAGCCGACGACTCCTTCCCCTCTCGTCTGTGTGCGTGGCTCAGCATCACGCTGGTTCTGGACTTGCGTGGGCTTGTGATCTCCTTCCTCGGTTTGTCTTCAAAGACTGAAGGGAAGGGACAGAGACACAACCTTGAAGTCTGGACGTCGTGACGAACCTCCGAAAGCCAGAAATCCCCAAGGGGTGGCTAACATCATCTCACGCTGTCCCATATGATGTTCTGCTGTGACGGAAATATTCTTTATCTGTGCTGTCCTATGAGTCCCTAGCCACATGTGACCATGGAGCATGTGGAATGGGGTGGGTACAACTGAGGAACTAAATTTTAACATATTTAATTTCAAGTAATTTAAATGTAAATAGACACATATGGCTAATGGGGACTGTATTGGTTAGCACAAGTATACATTTTCACCTATTTCCTAGGTGGCCAAAGCCAGTTTTGTTTAGGTGCATTTGTCTTACTGGTTTTCTGAATGATGTGGATGTTTGCTCGAAGCTTACATATAAATCTTCAATTTAAAAATAACAATAGTGTTAGTAAAAGTCATAGCTAGCACATACTGAGTAATGACTATATACTGTGTGGTTTGCTAAGTAATTTACATACCTTTTCTAATTTATAGTCACATAGTGATATCTTGAGATTACAGGTGAGGAAACTGAGGCAGCGAGAGGTTGACTTGTGCGAGTCCCACAGCCAGTAAAGCTGGGCTTTATCCCAGGCAGTGCGGGCCCAGAGCTGTTCCACTCTGCTGCCTGTCAAGTCAGTTCTCAGAGTCATTTCCTGGCTGGTGTTTTGATAGTCACGTCCTGGTTGCTGAAAGCAAAGCAGTCTTGGGGTCATTAGTGGCTTGGGTCTGAACAGTGGCCACGTAGTCGCTCCACGCTTTGCAGAGTGTAGGTCTGGATCCTGGCTGGAATGAAGGCAGCAGTTCCAAAGAGAGCGCTGAGCTTGCACTGAACCCGCCTGGGTCTGCTCACCTCCCTCAGATGGAGGGTGGGACAGACTTTTCCTGCCTCAGGTCTAGAAAGTTTGGCTCTCTGTTCAACACCAAGCCCCAGGCTAAGAAAAGATGGGCTTGCCTGGAAGCAGACTAGGATGGTCAGGATGAAGGGAGGGTCTGTGTGACATCAGTTTCTTCTGGAGATGATTCCACCATTTGCAAAGCAGGTGGGGGCTTATCGCCTCAATTCAGGGAGAGCCTGCAGTCACTGAAGGCTGAGTTGGAGTTGTGGCATGACTGTCTACTCATTCACCGTTACCCCCATGTCTGCCAGTGAGAGCCTGGGGTGTTCACTGGGCTCTCTCTGTGCTGGTAGATTTCAGCCTTAACCTGTGTCCCATCAGCGGCAGGAGACATTCAGAACTTGTCTGGCTCTGCAGCGTAACATTGTTTTTGCTTGGTTTCTTCGCAGCCTGTCTCCTGTAGCTTTTGACTTTGGGAAAAGTGACAGTTGTGGGGTTCACTTACAGGGATTTTGGCCCCTTCAATCTTTAATTTCTGTCTCTCCACCTACTAAAGTTCACTAAATCCCTTGCGGGTTTTCCTGTCTCTTGTCAAGATTCTCAGTACCCAGAATGAGGGTAAGTCAGGGAGACGGGGGAAAGTCGGCTACTTCTCTGCACCATTGTCCCTTCTCTGGGATTTGTTCCCTCGAGCTTTACCTCAGCACTCTCTGCGACCTTCAGGTAGCCTGCACCCCTCTCCCCATCCAGCAGATTTCTCCTTGTTCTTAGGAGTGTATCCTTTTGGCCCCAGTTACTGTCCTACCTAAAAGGCGAACTGGGTAGCTATAGATGGGCTGCAAATAGAAAGACTCTTCCATGGAGAAGGCATCCATCTATCTATCTGGAAAAATCAAGTCAGTCTGTCAAAACACCGGCAAAATACCCCATATCCACAAATCCAAACCTTGGGCTAAAACAGAATTGAGAGTCTGCTATTGTTGGGAGCCTTTGGTGTCCCAGGCGCCTCTCCCTAAGAGCATTAGCTATTCCTGAGTGTTAATCTCTTGGCATGAGTTTAGTGAAAATGTAATCTTCTCTGGCAAACTGCAACAGCAAGTTTTATCAGGTTAGCAAGAGGCATCCGTGACGGCCTTTGAGGCTGATGCACAACTGTGAGACCATGACAACTTACTTTAGCAGCTCAGAGGCAGGCCAAAGTCAGTTCTGAACAATGCTGCCTGCCCTGGGAGTCAGGGCTGTCTTTGTCAACGTTTCTTACCTGTGATAGCAGCATCTTTGGGGGGTTTTCCAAGTTGGGGTAAGGAGTTATATCGTGGCTGGGCAGGGAGGTTTGTGTAGGCATGGCTTTGTTGGTGGCACCGCATGGTGAGGGCACAGAGCTCATAACAGGAGACCACCGTGGACTCACCGATTCTCACCTTTGCTTTCCTCCAGCCTGCACGGACAAGGAGCTGAGGAGCCTCGCTTCCCGGCTGAAAGACTGGTTTGGAGCCCTTCATGAGGATGCAAACAGGGTCATCAAGCCCACCAGCCCTGATGCAGCCCAAGGCAGTGAGACCACTTTCCTCTTACTCATTCATTTTACTTTAAATTCCACGTTTTCTCAGTTACGAGACATCATAGATTTAGCATTTTGGGGTGAGCAAAGAGACACTACATTAAATATATACACTGACTTAAAATATGTCCCAATTTCAGAAATATCAAATTACAGAGGAGGGGAAAATGCCTTAGAATCAAGACAATAGAATACGTTTTACATGTTTTGATCCAGCTGTGCCGACGTTTGACTGTGCAGGTGGTCAACGCCCCTAACCACCCCTCGTTGTTCAAGGATCAACTGTATTTTTAAAAGTCTAGTTGCAAATTATATGTTTAGTATAGATATCTTGGAAAATACATATAAAATATATATAATTTATTTTTAAATCTATAAACCCACCATTTTAACAACTTAATCTCGTTGTGGTATATACTTTTTTCTTTCTCAAAAAAAAAAAAAGTGTGGGTGTGTGTACACACTGTTTTATGACCTTTTATCATTTTGCAATATACTGTAACTATGTTGTTGAGTATATTCTGCTTTGTAATAGCTACAGAGACTCTCAATTTATGGATATAACTTAATTTATGTAAACTGACCTTTATTTTGGAGCAACGAAGTTGTTCCATAGCAAACACTGAGACTCCTATACAGGTGTCCACCTCCCCCATGAACTGGCAGAGACCACACTCAGAGCCTCTTCATAAGCTGGAGAGAGCTCGGAATGGGTCCTCATCTCTGCACTTTGATGGAGTCTCTCGTTGCCTTTAATGGAAAGTGATTAGGGGAGGCTGCCCCACACTGTGGCCTGGCAGCACAGAATGGGTGACTCGGCAAGGCAGTTCTTCAAGTATGTGGAGTTCGGGGGCTGCTAGGATCTACAGTTTAACCTGTACCAGGTCTCTGGCCCAAATAGGAATGATCTCCTTAATTTGGGGTTATTCTCTGCTGCTCATAGCTACAGACACTAGTAGAGACTATTGATCTAGGGGACAATTCTTTCACAAGTTTGGATCTTCTACCTTAAGGGAAAGATAGTATTTGTGTTCCAGAATCTAAGTGTCTAAAGAATGGTTCTTGGTAGTTCCTGTGGGGAAGGAGAAGTAAGGAGTTTCTTTTTATTTCGGCTGGGGACGCCTTGGGAGTCTGTGAACAATTAATTCACAGATGGTCTAGAGAGGCTTTTCCCAGGATCCTCCAGGAGCAGCTGGGCCCGGGGATCTCTGACCAGCCATTCAACAAAGAGCAGGTTGGTGTGTGGAGAGCTGCTTCTTGTGGCCTCCAGTCCCAAGGGACTCCTGCAGAAAACTAGGGAGCCCGCCAAAGACCTGTCCTTGGCCAGAAGCAGACGGAGTCCCCAGAGAGGCTGGTTTGCTGTCCTGAAGCAACTGGAGTAAAGGGGATAAAAAGGAATGACACCTGGTTAGTCCACAAGGCCAGAGGAGAGAGAGTGTTTGTCAGTTCAGGAGTTCTGAAGGGGGAACCAGGGAACCCTACAAGTCCCACATGCTTGGGGCCAGTCAGAAGAACCACTGTTTCCCCTCCTCCCCTACACATCAGATGCAGGTGCCTCTTTCCTGGAACCTTCCAAATGGATATGCAGTGGACTTGACCTTTAGACTACTGCCCAGCGAGCTTGGCACTTCTTTTTGGTGGTCAGCAGTAAGCTCCTCTTTCCAATGTATCAAAATGTTAACACCCTATAAAATTGATGCATGTGACATAAAATATTCTGTACAAAAAGTGTGGAGCCATTTAGTGCCAGAGTAAATTATCTTCCTTTACTTAGCCCCTGAGGACATCATCGAGAGTGTTCAATCACGACCTTCAATCAAAGAAGAGACCACATTATGTTCCCACAGTCTCTGTTCTTGAAAAAGGGGATGTTCTAAGATAGTGAAAGGAATATATTTAAACGTGGAAAGATTGTTATGTTTGATGGGGTAATTTGTAATAGCTAGAAAACTCTCGACAAATACTTTTAGGGAGCAGCCACTATGTGCCTGTCCTGGCTGAGGCTGCTGAAGGAAATAGCGCAGTGTGTGCCTGGAGTCCAGGGCTGAGAGTCTAACAGGCCTTTCAACCGCCCAAAGCACGGGGCTCTGCCAGAGCTCAGTGAGGGAGGCTGTCTACTTGACGGTTAAGACGCCTTGGGAAGATAGCTTTAAAAAGGGTAGGTGCACGTTGCTATACCTTATAATCCTCTGACTAAGCAGGGGTTCCTGGTAATGCAACCCAATGACCAGGATGTGGGTAGGAACCCCAGGAGTGGGCAGTTGACCCTATCGAGACCCTTAATTACAGTCACCGTAACCTCCCTTGCACTCCCTACCCCCCAAAATGGCACCCTAGCCAACTGGAGGTCCTCAGGGCAGGAGGGCCATGTGTCGTGCGAGGCAGAAGCACCTGAGAGTGGAGGGTTGAGAATGCACACTTCGGGTTGGGCCGCCTGGGTCTGGATCCCAGCTCCACACTGTCAGACCCTGAGCAAGTAACCTAAGCCCTGAGTGGAGGATATCGCATCATTTCATAGGACTGTTACAAGGACCCAGTGAGATGATTAAGTATAAAGTGCTTAGAAGAGTGCCTTAAGACAAAAGTAAAATCATCAATTTTCCAGGAAAATAAAGCCAGTCCTAGAAATCCAGCTTGTGGAATAACTTGAAAATGCATGGTGCTCTGGATTCTGAAAGAAATTCAGTTTTAGATTTGGCGCATGCCCTCTCTGGGGTTTGGCTATAGTAGACGCAAGATCCCAGGTGTTAAGCAAAGTGTCGTTATTCGAGTGCATACAGTTTCCATTGTGGAAACAAATAATTCTTTAAGAAAACTACCCCTCCTCCCCCCCAGGAAATAAGAAAGAAATTATTGTCTGAGTCAGTCTGGGTCCCGCATCATGTACCTCTGAAGGGGACTGCAGAGAGTAGCACGTGGAACTGAGGCGGGGGCCTGGGGGCCCAGCTTGTTTCCCACTCACGGTCAGACTGCTTGGGTTTACCTGTCCTTTGGGGCAGGACCAGTGCTTCCAGACTGCGGTTTCACCTTGCTGCCATCCTTTTTACAACAGTTTCTTTGTTTTGGCTTTTCAAATAATTTTTTTTTCCCTTAAATATAAAAGCATAGTTTGCAGAATCATCAGTTAGTTCCACAGCTCACTGTATGCTTCCTTTCAGGCATACTCTGTTTTGAACAAGTCCAGTAAATGAAAAAAACCATTATACATCACAGATAAATTAGCAGTGGGGATTTGTTCCCATTAGAACTTATTTTCCTACAATGCTGACTTATGTTTTTGTGCATTTAAAATTTTTCATTTAAAAACCGCCACCACCAAGATCATATGCTAGGAGAGAGCCTCCGGGACCAGACCTTTGGTGAGGGGAGGCTGTGGGGGTGGACCCTGGGCCTCCTCTGTGGTCAGGAAAGACCCAGCTTGGCGGCAGCTTACGCATGCCTTTCCCTCGGCAGGGTTTGACACCAGCATCCTGCCCATCTGCAAGGACTCCCTGGGCTGGATGTTCAACAAGTTGGACATGAACTACGACCTCCTGCTTGACCCCTCAGAGATCAATGCCATCTACCTGGACAAGTACGAGCCCTGTATCAAGCCTCTCTTCAACTCCTGTGACTCCTTCAAGGACGGGAAGCTCTCTAACAATGAGTGGTGCTACTGCTTCCAGAAGCCCGGGGGTAAGGTGGGAGAGAGGTGGGGTCCAGAGCCCAGGGCGGAGATGTAGACCACCTCCTGGGGAGGCAGGTGGAGACCAGCAGGCAGAAAGACACAGCTAGAGAATAAAGCATTCACCCTATTTAATGGCAGGCCCAAAGGCTTTTTTCTCCTCTTTTACAATTCCATTTTTAGCATGGTATGTTAGAAAACACAAGAGCATAATCAAAGAGTCTGTTATTTCAGTCTTCCTTTTGGGAAAATCTCTTAACCATATTTTGCCTCAGACTTTTCATCTGTAAAATGGATGTAGAAACATCTGCTACATAATTCCCAAGATCACTGTAATACTGTACAAATGTAAAGTAGCGTAATTCCCATCGCACATGAATTCTCCCCGTTCCCCTTAAACAGAGACACTTGTCAGCTTTTCTAGGATAGTATGGATTTATACTGAGTGTCTTAGACAAAGATATTTTGGTTATAAACAAACTCTGGCTAACTGAAGAAAGAGACAAGATTTGAGAAGTAAATGGAAAGAATACAGAGGTATCTCATGTGGCACAAAGTCAGGAGGGTCAGCCTGCAGTTGTGCAGACTAGAGACCAGAAGACTCCAGGATCCAGAGGCAGGAGCTCTGAGCCTCCCTGAGGGGCCCGGGGTCTGGCTTTACTTCCCTTTGTCTCAGCTTCCTGGGGAGGGATGAGCATGTGTGATGGCCCACAGCTCAGGGCACCAGCAGAGACTGGCTCCCAGAAAAATCTGGTCCAGTGTTAAGTCAGGGCTCCAGCGTAGCACTGTAGGCCTGGCTGTCAGAACCCACCTCCAGGAAAGGAAGGTAGCTACTATCATTAAAGCATTTAAATTGTCTGTGTGTGTATGCACGTTCAGACAACACAAACAGCAGAAAACGTAGGCCTCACAGAAGGGCACTCACTGCAAAGTAGGAATGTCTGTATGTTTATAGGATTATAAGATACATTCCTAAAAGCGGACTTGCTGGTCAAAAGGGCATGTGCATTTTCAAATTTGAGCACTGTTTCCAATTTTCCCTCCAAAGAGGTTGTAACAATTTTTAGTCTCAGGAAAAATATACAAGAATACCTATTTTCCCATGGTTTTGTCGAACTTTGTGGACAGTTTCAAATTGAGGGAAATTATATTTCCTTATAGGCTTCATTTCATTTCTCTTATGATGTAGCTTGAGCATTTTTGAGACACTCTTGAGTTCCCTTTTCCTTGACATGTCTAGTTTTCACACATTTTTTTCCTATCAGGTTCTTGTGGGTTTTTTGTTGTTGTTGTTGTTATTGTTGTTGTTGCTTTTTTCCTATCAGGTTCTTGTGGGGTTTTTCTGTTGTTGTTGTTGTTGTCTTATAGGAATTTTCTCTAAGGACTAGAACTGTTCTAGACATATATGATGCAAATTTTCCCCCAACTTCAACTCTCTATTTCCCCCCAACTTCAACTCTAGGGAGAAACTTTAAGTTTTAGTCATATTTCTCCATCTTTTATTCTGTGGCCTCTTAGAAGCCATAAAGCTTACATTAAGCTTAGAAAGGTATTTCCCACTTAACGATAGTAATTCTATTGTGTGTTTTGTTCAGTATCTTTGGGATTACGTTGAGTGTTTGTTTATTGAAATCTTGTATCAGTTTAGATTTTTTTAGATGGTCATGTAGGGTCCCAGCACCCCCCCGCCCAATCCCTGGAGATGGTTGTCCAGTGCGCTTGTCACCGATTGACAAATCCATTATTCTCCTACCAATTTGAAATGCTTCCTTTATCATACATAGAATCTTATATCTATCTATTCCCAGATAGTCTGCCCTATTAAAAGAACAGTTATTCATAAATCAGTTCTAAACTGTTTAAATTACAGTTGTTTTACAATATGTTTTAATATCTCGTGGGGCCACTCTCCCCTGCCATTAATCTTTTTTCAGAATTTTCCTAGATATTCTTATATATGTTTAACTTTTTGAGCTGAGAATCAGTTTATGCAAACTTAAAAAATTCTTACTGGTATTTTTTTTTTACTATCATGCAAAATTAGATTAATCTAGAGTGAATTGATAGCTTTATAATATTGAATCCTTTTATCCTAGAATCTGTTAACCAGTAGAGTTATAAGTTTTGTTCTCAGATATTATATTTCCTCACTGGTGGTTGTTTTAATATTAATTTTGTTCCCAGCTACCTTACTAAATTCTCGTTTTGTTTAAATAGTTATTCTGGTTGGTTTCCTTGGATTTTTTTCAGGTGTGCAATCATGTCATCTGCAAATAGTGATGATTTTTGCTCTTCCCTTCTGATTTTTATACCTCATTTCTTTCTCTTTTTTAATCACACCAGCTAGTACCTCCAAATCGATATTAAATAATAGCCATGTTTTTCACTTCAGTAGAAATGCTTGTAGTGGTTCAGCATTAAGCTTAATGATAGCTTTGGGCTTGAGTTTATATAAAATCATGTGACTTTAGTCAAGGTTAGCTCAGGTTTAGCTTGATCAAAGCGGAGGCTCAGTGCTAACGCATCACCTGGATATGTAATGCCAGGGCCCCAGGGGTGACGTTACTGCCTTAACCAAGAGACAGAGCTGGTTACCTGGCCACACGGCATGTCTCTGGTTAGGCTGCCCTTTCAGCAATTGCTGAAGGAAGCCAGGATCCCCACCTGTGGCAGGACAGGGTACCCAGGTGGAGCCGAATGAGATAATTTGTTGTAGTTCTCTGTCCCCCATTTTGTGCATTTCTTCTAAGTTTATTTTTTGTTGGGGTCCCACCACATCCGTCCCTGACCCAAACCAGTTCTGAAATTTTTATTTTACTTCCACATTTCATTATTTCCTATTTATTAAGGCATGTACTTGAGGCTAAATTTTTTTGCCAAAGTATTTAGCTATAGACCCTAGGTATTGATATTTGGTACTTTTATTATAGTTAATTTGTAGGCAATTCTACAATTAAGGCTGTGAGTGCCTCCTTGGCCCAAGGAAATTATAAGAGTGTACTTTTAAACTTTTCATGTAGTAGGATTATTTGTTGACTGCTTCTGATATTATTCTCTTTAGTTTTTTTTACTAAGTTTGAGTTTTAGATCTTTTCAAAGATTCTCATCGGAATTCTATTCTTTGAATTAGTCCTTGAATATTTGGAAAATATTTCTATTTTCTTTATACGAAAAAAAAAAAAGATGCTAAGTATAAACTGTCGGGAGTCATAGCTTTTTGATCTTCTTAAAACTTTATTTGCTTACCACTGAGTGTAACTATAGAATAATGTGTGAACCCATACCAATTTTTCTCCCTTTATTAGTGAGGTAACTAACCGTTGTGCCTGGAAGTCAAAAGGATTTACCTTTTAAGGGCACAAACTTCCTAGGACATGTCTTCGTTTTTCTATTACTTTTCTTGAGCTGCGTATGGTCTCTTGAGCTCTAGCATTAAAACCTTTTTGTTGCGTTTGATTAGTCTCTTAGGATCATTCATTTTGTAGCTTCTTTCTATGTCATTTTTATCCTTGAGCCTTTGCATCTGTGCATTTAGCTCTGGTCTCACATAACTCTTTTCCATTAGAATCCTGGACCACTTAGAGAAATCTTTGTTAATTATTTTCACTGGCTCAGCAGCAAACATTTTTCTGTTAACGAATTTTTCATCTGGAGTTTTGTTTTGTTTTTCTTCTGGTTTTCTTGCAACAATTTTTAGTAGGTCTTAGTCTGATTTATTTTTCCTTATCTTTCAATCAGTAGAGTTTTAAAAATTACTGTAGGACAATTTCAGGGGTCTTATAACTAGAAACTTATTTCACAGGAAACAGTGTTTACACGACTGACTGACTTTTCCTTCTCTTCAGGAGCAGGCTTCTAAATGCCTTACAGTGTCTTCTCTATGTTTCTGTGTGGTTACAAAAATGAACATTTCCATTTGCAAAATAGGAATAATACTGGTACCTCCCTAATATGGTTGTTGTAAAGATGTAAAGTTCTAGAACACTATCGGGCACATACTACTTTTAATCATCAAAGATGGAACTTGTTTCCCTTTTTGTTGTTTTCAGTTGGTATCTTAACTACAGAAATCAACATAATATATTTTACAACCAGTTTTTCACAAGGAACCAGCAGCAGGACCAGGTGGCATTGTGATATCCTCAGGGTAATAGATGTAAATAGGGACTCGGATACTTTCTACAGGCTGTACTCATGTACATACAGAGGTAGTATAAGTGCCCTGAGAATTAGAACACCTCTGTCCATGCCTGGAGGGCCATTAACAAACAGCAGAGCTCCCCGCTCCACCCCCCAGAGCCACAGGATCTGCAAAAGCAAGTTAAGACTCGGACTAGTGAAGTCACCTTTCTTTTTGCTTGTAATGGAAGAAAGCTCTTCTCTTGGGAGGTAAGAGAGTATCACACACTTCTATGTGCCCCACTTGGCCATGCGGCTCCACCATATCAGTCCTCCATTGAGAACTGACAGTTTTGTGCTCATTCATAACAACATAACTGAGGGCTCAGAAGATGAGAGAAAGAGACCTGCCCAAAGTATTCAGCTATGAGGTGACAGAGTTGAGGTCTCAAGCTTCTACACTCTCTCTGTATCTCTTGTATATCTTCATAGCTGCCCCTTGAGGTCTGTGTTTTACTTTCCTGGGTCGTGAGCCACAAGGTCTTGAAGCAGCCATTCTAATCCTCTCTCTCTCCTACAGCAAGACCTAGGGGAGAGTGTCTGTCACCTTCCCTCTGGTCAGTCGGTCTGGCCTGTGGATTCAGAACACTGACCTACTAGTAAGCTTTGGTCCTGGTTCTCAGCTCATCGAAATCTTAGCTGATTATTTGCTTCCCTAATATAAAAGAAAAAGTATTAGCAAATCAGCTATTAAACACCTGGTATTTGCTTGAGTTGGTGGTGGGGAGAAAAATTCCTGTACGAAGCATGTAGCCCCCAAATACTATTTTAAGTACCTCGTGGTATAAGTTGTTTTTTTTAATTAGTAACACTAATGGCCTGAGTTTGTTCTGCCACATAGCCACAGCATATGGAGTAATTCCACTCCCAGGTGTGTCACTGTCTACATTTCACGTCACAAGTGAAGCCAATCATTAGAGATTATATCCCATACCATCTGGAAACTAACTTTCACAAATTATTTTTTAGGTCTCCCTTGCCAGAATGAAATGAACAGGATTCAGAAGCTGAGCAAGGGGAAAAGCCTATTGGGTAAGTACAATTTCTTGCCACTCATTTATACAACTAATTAAACCATCATGTCTCTTGTAATATTGAGTACAGCAGTGGTTCTCAATTACAGGCCAGTGCTTCATGAAAGAAATGCCTCACTTTACCCCAGACAGGGCTCTTTCAGGCAGCTGGATATAATCTGAGGACCAGTTTGTTGGCCGAGAATTAGCAAGAGGAGAGGTCAAATGTCACCCAGGGTTGTAATCTCTTCCTACTTTTGGCTCCAATGGATCTTAGCTTTTCCTTCTTTCAAGCACCGCCATTGAATGGAGCTCTCTAGTATCCAACTCTAAGGTCTATAAATTTCCTATATTCCCCAGATCAAGTTGTGTACTTGAGGAAGATGAGCCATACTCCCATCTGAATCTATCAGATAGGATTCAAAGACATATGTGTACTTGCATGTGTTTCTTAGTGTCCCATGCATGGTCTCTGAAGAAAGTATAAGGCTGTTTAGACACTGCACATTTCCCTTACCATTCTGTCTGCACGGTAAGGAAGAAGCAAGTGGGTCATATGAATGCATTTTCCCTGACGTGTGAGTCCGGACAAAGTCAAGGTAACAAATGCTAACCTGCTGAAGCATTTGTTCCCTTTTAGCTCCAAGCTGTTCTGTTTCCAGCACTCGGGTTGTTGTGGCATTCAGACTAGGCCGTCCCTGAGAGGGTATAAACCTCATTTGTTTGCTGAAAAGGAATCTGCGTTGCTTTTTGAAAAAAGCTGACCAGCTGTAACACAGTAATTCAGAGTTATTTTTGTTAAGCTTTCAGGAGCAGGTGCTTTCCCTAAGCAGCCTGCCATTTCAGAACTTTATTTACTTGATAGAGATGGGCAAGTTTTTTTTTTTTGCAGACTGTCAGATGTAGGTGGTCTGTGAGCTCTGGTGATGTCTCTTCTGATTTTGGGGTCACCTCAAAGTGTATTCTCCTTCCTACTGCTTTTGAAAATTATTTCACTGGCTTGTCCCAGACTTTTGGCATCTGGTAACACTCTGTTCAACTCAGAACTCCAAAGCTGTAACTCTGACCTAGATTCCTAGGTCTGGGCCTAGATTCCTCTCCTGTGTGAAAAAGTATAAAGGCCTCTTTCTGATCTGAAGGCAGAGTGGCTATATCCCTCTGCCATAGTTCTGTCCAGTACAAGGCCTTGGGCTTACTGATCTGATTCTCCCATGCGGGAGGTTACTTTGAGTTTATGTGTCTGAGGTTCACAGAGAACATATGGAGATTACTCTGGCTGCTTCATAAAGATACAGTTTATTTGCTTACAAGTTGTTTTTCACATGGTGAAATCTCCTAATATACGGGTGTTCAGGGGCATTTTGATTCAAAAAATAAGTAAAACAAGCAATAAATTACTACCAGTTCTAATTATTGCCTAGAGTGGTAATCCTATTACAGATTTAGAGCAGCACCTGCTTCTTACCAACCTTGGGGTTCAGCCTAATATGTTTGTTTGTTGCTTATTAAGTGCTGTTTTCCAACTGCAGGTCAAGGAGGAGGACCCACAGTTCCCCAGCTCTACTGGTTCTCCTCCTTCACAGATCTTGAGAATCTGTTTACAAATCTCTCTGCCTTCTGGTTATTGAAAGCACTTACTTTTCCTGCAGACTAGGGGTGCTGAGCCCTTAAGTTAGAGTGTGAGTAATACCCTCTCACTGTGGCATCAGCAGACTTGCCTATCACTTAGGAATGGTTTTCCTACCCATGACCTCATTTGCTGAGAGCCAGGTCACCCTGGAATAGCCTTGAGAGCTGAGCATTTGAGTAGTTCCATGTAATAGGAAGGTGGGCAAAGTATATGGGTGCAAAGAGTTGTGTAGGTGTGTTGTTGAATGCTAGTAAATGGAAATGATGGCATGGTCAGCTAAATTTGGGGATGGGGTAGAGATTTAAAAAGGTATAAAAGAGTTATCCTGGAGAATGAATGGATAGAGTAAGATAGGGTTACTAGGTACCACCTTGAGGTTAGCAGTAGTGCGCTTAAAATGAGACTAGTTTTCAGATGATTGTGACTTTTACTTCAATTCAAAGCCATCTCTTCCTCATGTGGATCTTATTTCCTCTTTTGTATTCAGGCTCCAAAAACTCTCCCCACTTCTCTCCTACATCACTGATTTTTCTCTCAGTACTAGAGCATCTTCATCAACATTAAAACAGAGAGGGAAGATCAGCTCTAAGCCATGAGGGGAGGCAGCAGAAGAACCCAACACACATGCAAAAATGCTGTTATTCCTCACCTCTTACCCGCTCTACCTATTGCACCATTTTTTCTGCTTCCCCCTCTACAGAGAATCAGCTGGAATCAGAGGTTAAATCCAGGTTCAAAATAGTAAAAATTTGTCTCCCCTGCCATGCTTCTTTCTGGGGTCTATTCCATGAGAACCCGATAAGCACCACTGGTTTAAGAGAAATACCTTCAGAGTAAATCACTTTGAACCTAGCATGTTAAACTTATCCTAATGAGTATTCTAATGTGATGACAGATATTCTCAAATCATAGATGCATTAAGTTTAGTAACCCTAGACTGAGTAAAGTCTCACTAAAAGATTTACAGACGATAAATGACCCCAAAAGAAACTGTGAAAAAAAATCTGCTAAATCAAAATAAATGACCTATAAAAATAGTTTGATAGTAAGCTGAAATTAAAACTGCAGACTATTGAGGGCAATGAGAAAAAGGTGGTAAAAATGTGTTAAATTTCTGGTTTATTCAGGAAAGAACAGATTAGATATTAGGAAAAGTATGCTTCTCAGTAGATTTAAGGGTAATAATAGCAATAGAACATGTAGTTTTAGAGCTATAGAAGGAAAAACAATTTCAACAAAAGGCAGGAAAGAGGGACAATAGAAAACCCAAAATAGAGTGGTAGAAATAAAAGCAAGCATATCTATAATCATGAAACATGTGACTGGGTCTAACTCACTAGATACTATCAACTGGTATTTTTAAAGAGAGTTTCATATAAAACAATTACACAGAAACTTTAAAAGATAGTAAAGACTCATTTTTATAATAATGTTAAAGCCTGACAAAAGCAAATACTTCCAATTCTAAAAACAGTTATCACCTTGCTGAAATGTTACTTTTATCATATTATATCAAAAATTGGTATACTCATAACCTTAAAACAAAGCATAACAATTGCAAGGTGTCATATTTATAATCATAATCAGAGACTTCAATAAACCACTCCCTGAAACTTATAGTTCAAGTAGACCAAAATATGTACATAGAACTGAACATGATTTATACACATATATTCATATATATTTATTCCTGTACATAAGCATAGAATATCGAGTCTTTTCAAACACAAATGAAATACTTGCCATGGATTATACCACAAAAGAAAACTCAACAAATCTCAAAAAAGAAAAGATTAAATTTACTTGCAATGACACAAAAGAAGTCAAAAATGAGAATGCCCAAACCCCATACATCTGGGGTTTTTAAAAGAATTAGTCAAAGATGAAATAAAGTAAAAACTATAAAACATTTAGAACCGACTGAAAGTGAAAGCAGTGTATACCAAAATTGGAGGGAGGCAACTAAAGTGAATCTTAGAATAGTCATAGCTTCAAATCAGGAAAGCTGTAAGAACAACACAATAAACTGGAATGACAGACTAAAGCAGGAAACAATGAAGTAGACAAACCTCTGGCCATATAAAAGGCTCAAATACTATAATGAATTTAAAAGTGGGATGTAACCTCAGATATAAGAGAATACTGGAAACTTCAGCATGTATCAGAATCACATGAAGAGTTTTTCAGGCGGTTCGTGGGGTCTCACTCTCAGTTTCGGATGCAGTAGGTCTGGGTGGGGGCCCGAGAATTTGCTTTTCTAAGATGTTTCCAGGTGATGCTGCTGGTCCTGTATGAACACTCTGAAAACTACTGCCACAAACCAACTTATAACAATTATGAAAATCTAGTTGTAATAGATACTATGAGTTACCACATTTGAGTCACAAAGAACCGGAAGACCCAACTAGATTTAAAAACCATAAAGTTAATTTGAATCAGAATGCCATTCTCATTCCCCAAAATAGGCACCAGGCCCAAAACATTTTTATGTGTGAATCCTTCATGGAAGAGATCATTCTTCTTTTACACAAAAATGTCAAGTATAGAAAAATACCTGAATCATTTTCTGAATTAATTGCTTTCATACAGAAATTGAAAAAACAAAATTATATGCCTCTGTCAGTAATATAGATGCAAACTGAACCACTACTAATTTATCTTATTCAAATAAATAACAAAAATAAATGTAAAGGATACCAAAAAACATGTTTTATCAGTTATTTAAAAAGTTCTCAAATCAGAAAGTAGAAAATATGAACAGACCAATTACTAGTAAGGAGATTGAATCAGTATTCAAAGTAGAAAAGCCCAGGACCAGAGAGCAGATGGCTTCACTGGTGACTTTTACCAAACATTTAAAGAAGAATTAACACCAATCCTTCTCAAAGTCTTCCGAAAAATTGAAGAGGAGGGAACATTACCAAATTCATTTTACGAGACCAACATTATCCTGCTACCAAACTCAGAAAAGTACAGGCCAATATCCCTGATGAATAAAGATGCAAAAATTTCCAATAAAATAACAGCAAACCAAATTCAGCAGCACAATAAAAGGATCATTCACCATGGTTAAGTGGGATTTATCCCTGGGATAAATGGTTTAGTATATGCAAATCAACCAGTGTGATATATCACATTAACAAAATGAAGGATAAAAATCATATGATCTTAGTAGACACAGAAAACCCACTTAACAAATTCAACATTCATTCATGATAAAAAACAACAAAATATAGAAGGAACATACCGTAATATAGTAAAAGCCATATATGACAAGCCCACAGCTAACATCATACGCAATGGTAAAAGATTGAAAGCTTTTCCTCTACTATTAGGAACAGAACAATAATGCCCACTCTCACCACACCCATTCAACCTAGTACTGGAAATCCTAGCCAGAATTAAACTGAAAAAAAAAAAAGACATCAGAATTGGAAAGAAGTAAAATTGTTAATATTTGCAAATGACATGATTTTATATATAGAAAATCCTAAAGACTCCACCAAAAAAACTGTTAGATCTAATTAACGAATTTGGTAAATTTGCAGGATACAAAATTAACATGCAAAAATCAGTAGCATTTCTACATACTAACAACAAATTATGTGAAAGAGGAATAAAATCCATTTACAATAGCCTCAAAAACAATAAAATACTTAAGAATAAATTTAACCAAGAAAGCAAAATAGCTCTACACTGAAAACCATGAAACATTAATGAAAGAAATCAAGGAAGACACAAATAAGTGAAAAGATATCTTGTGTTCATGGATTGGAAGAATATGTCAAAATGTCTATACTACCCAAAGCCATCCATAAATTCAACTCAATCCTTATCGAGATTCCAGTGGCATTTTTTACAGTAGAAAAAAATCCTAAAATTTTCTTGGGACCACAAGAGACCTCAAATAGCTAAAGCAACCCTGACAAAGAAGAACAGAGCAGGAAGCATCATACTTCCTAAATTTAAGCTACATTATAAAGCTTTAGTAATCCAAACAGTATGGTACTTGCATAAAAAGGGACTCACAGACCAATGGAAAAGAATACAATCAAGAGCCCAGAAATAAATCCATGCATATAGAGTCAACTAATATTTTAGAAGGAAGCCAAGAATACTCTATGGAGAAAAGACAGTCGGATCAATACAGGATGCTGGAAAATTAGATATTTACATGTAAAGAATGAAACTAGACTCCCATCTTATACCACTCCAAAAAATTAACTCAAAATGGAATAAAGACTTAAATATAAGACCTGAAACCATGAAACGCCTAGAAGAAAACAGAAAAAAATCTCCTTGACCTAGATATTGGTAATGATTTTTTGGATATGACATCTAAAGCACAAGCAACAAAATAAAAAGAAACAAGTGGGACTAAGCAAACTAAAAAGCTTCTGTACAGCAAAAGAAATGATTAATAAAGTGGAAAGACAACCAAAGGAATGGTAAAGATATTTGCAAATCGTATATCTGATAAGGGATTAATATCCAAAATATATATATAAAGAACTCATACAACCCAATAGCAAAAATCATCATTATCCAATTAAAAAATGAGCAAAGGAACTGAATAGACATTTAGCACAGAAGATTTACAGATGGCCAACAGGTACATGAAAATGTGCTCAACATCACTAAACATCAAGGAAATGCAAATCAAAACCACAAGAAGATCATCTCACACCTGTTAGAATGACTATCACCAAACGACGACTGCTGATTGCAATGTAGAGAAAGGAACACTCATGCACTGTTGGTGGGAATGTAAATTGGTGCAGCCACTATGGAAAACAGTGTGTAGGATCCTCAAAAAATTAGAACTAGAACTACCACATGATCCAGCACTTCCCACTTTGGGGTATTTATCCAAAGAAAATGAAAACACCAGTTCGCAGGGATATCTGCGCCCTCGTGTTCGCTGCAGCATTACTTAACAGTAGCCCAGACAGGGAAACCTATGTGTCCATCAGTAGAGGAATGGCTAATGTGGTGTATATGCACAACAGAATATTGTTCAGCCAGAAAAACAAAGAAAATCCTGCCAATTGTGACAACATGGATGGACCTTGAGGGCATTATGCTAAGTGAAATAAGTCAGACTGAGATAGACAAAAATCCTGTATGATCTCACTTCTATGTGGAATAGAAAAAAAAACCAAAACCAAGTTCACAGAGAGAGAGATGAGATTTATGGTCACCACAGGCAGTGGGAGCTGGGTCAAAAAGTACAAATTCCCAGTTATAAATAAGTACTTAGGGATGTAATGTACAACACGGTGACTGTAGCTAACACACTGTAAGGTATGTATCTAAGTTTTTACGAGTAAATTCTAAGTTCTGATCAGAAGGAAAAAACTTTTGTATCTCTATGAGATGACGGATGTTAACTAAACCCACTGTGGTGATCGTGTCACAATCTAGGCCGAATCGTTATGCTGTGCACTTCAACATTAATGCATTTCTATATTAATTTTGTACATGTTGATAAAACTGGAAAAGCATAAAAAATAAAAATTATTAATAAGGGTAGTACATATTCATAATTTATAGAGAAAAATAAGAACTCATCCAAGAAGGACTAGAAGTCCTGTCTAACCTGAGCAAGTCCCACGGCCCTGTGATCTAAGTAATGCCCAACCACCTGATTCTCTCCATTAGTCCGGCGGCAGACACCTCGTATTACACATCAGTCCCCTTCTGTCTGGGGGTAGGGCATTAACCCAGAATATCTCTGCACTTCTGGTCCCCCAGGAGCATTCATACCTCGGTGTAATGAGGAGGGCTATTACAGAGCCACACAGTGCCACGGCAGCACAGGGCAGTGCTGGTGTGTGGACAAGTACGGGAACGAACTGGCTGGCTCCAGGAAACAGGGCGCCGTGAGCTGTGGTGAGTAAGGCCTTCTGTGTCAGCCCTGTAATGATCTCTGCCACCTATAGGTCCTCGCTGTGTCAGGGTCTGAGCAGAAGAATTTCAGGTGTCTGTGGTCTACAGTGAGTGAGTTTACAGTAGTAGGTCCTCGCTATGTCAGGGTCTGAGCAGAAGAATTTCAGAAGGTGTCTGTGGTCTACAGTGAGTGAGTTTACAGTGGAAACCCGTGAGATTATGCAGACAGGAAGTCACCATGACCACCGAGCTGGACGACAGTTTATGACAGTTGGGAATTGACACAGGCCAAGAGCCACTTAGGTTGCCTTCACTTTCCAATTAGGATTATAAATCTTCCAAGAAAGTAGAAGCATCTCAAGAATTCTGGGGTTCCTATCAGAACAAAGCTTGGGGTCCATTCCATGTAGACTAACCCCACCCAGAGAGGGATGCTCCCATGTTTGGGAAGAAAAATACAGTTAAGTCACATGCAAGGGAACCCCTGACATGGGTTATGAAGTGTAAGCAGGAACTAACCTCAGATCTGTTCCTTCTTCATGTTGCAGAAGAGGAACAGGAAACCTCGGGAGATTTCGGCAGTGGCGGCTCTGTGGTCCTGCTAGATGACCTGGAGGACGAACGGGAGCTGGAACCAAAGGACAGATTGGGGAAGCTGAGGGTGCATACCCGGGCAGTGACGGAGGATGATGAGGATGAGGACGACGACAAAGATGATGAGGTCGGGTACATATGGTAGTCTCCACGAGGACGAGGACATGAGGTTGGCACAAAATTGCAAGTCACTTCCTGTTCCTGCATTTGTATCTAAGACTCCACGGCACCAAGGTCTGTTCTCCATTGTCGCTCTCTATGCCCGACCTCAGGTTTGGAAGACAGCTCCTCGTTCCCAGAGCATTCTGATTTTGCATACGGTTGTGTGGGAAGAAGGGTGTTGTGTTGTGTTATGTTTTTAGACAGTGGAATGGCTGGCTGAATTACAGCCTCCTTCCCTCCCATGAGACTTTTGCAATGAGCATGTGATTTATGTGGGATTCTGGCAGTGCGGGGAGCCCCACCCTGTAAACGTCAAAGACCCTTTCTGGACTACCCACACTGGTGGTTATCACAGCATGGTTCCCGGCCTTACGGTGTCTTAAGTGCTTTTCTTGTGTCTTGTAGATGTCGTGGAAAACACACCACACTGGACTTTATTCCCTTTGCTCCCCACCACCCCTGCTGTTTATTATTAAAAATTAGTTATTCACATCACTGTATCTGGCTTCCTACAAACAACAGCCTTAATTCAGTCAAGAATCCCTTTGGGGAACTGATTTTCTTTATTAAAAATACGGCGTCTGGATACTTCTCTCTGTACATGCATAAATATGTATATATGTACAGAAGAGGCTATGTGTCTATGGAAGGTATGCACTCCTCTCGGAAAAACTGGGTGGGTATCTGTTAAAAAAAAAACTCACTTGAAAAACAATTATAAATCTGTCAGCTTGTCCAGACCTGGATCACAATTTCTGGAATAAAAATGTGAATCGAAGTCCTTTTCTGCACTAACAGTCGGCACGTTGTCGCCTGCAGGAGGGGGAGGTCTCTTCTCTAGGCATCGGCAGAGTTACTGGAAGCCTCTTTGATTTGGATAAGCCTCTGTCTGCCTAAATCACTTTTCTCACACAAGCCATGCGACTCCCACGTGGGCAGCTTCACAAGCCATCTGTCTCATTTCAGCTCAGAGCCCCTGCAACGGTCCTGTCTGCCGCAGCCTCCTCCCTTCCCTATGTAATCTACTCAAGGGCTTTTTCTGAGGCATGTACACACAACCCCCTGCTCGCTGAGAAGGAGTACCACGGTGTTCCTTAGGAGAAGGAAATTCAGAATTCTTAACTCGAGGTTTTGCTCTTGCCCGCTTGCTAGCCAACAAATCATGATGAGGGCACGAAAGCAGTACAGATTTTATATCCTTTATCGTTTGTGAAGAATCCCATATGGAGGCCTAGAAAGAACTTGGTAGTGGCACATGGAAGCTAGGGCTGGATTTTTAGGAGCTAGTCCTGTCTCCATGCCCTCACCCGCATGAGTGTTAAGATACTAAGAAAGAAAGTCCTGCACCGTTTGCGTTTCTTTTCCCTAAGTAAACTCATTATTAGAGCCCGTCTCCAAATGTGCTAGGGCCATCATCTCTACATTCTTTAGGATTTCTCTCTGTATTTCTCTCCCAGATACAAGGACAAGGACCAAAGAGTAGTGTTCCAAGTGGCCCTGTTTAGTTCAGTGCTCGCGCTTCCTTCAGCTCCCGCCCCACCTGGTTCCCACCTACTCAGCGCCCCCAGCAAGGCTCTCTGGCCAACATTTGTCATTCCTCTTTTCCCCATGAGCTCCAGTCAGTCCATGAGAAGACCACGTAAACTCAGGCATAAAATATATTCAGCCAGACCATGATCACAGTGGCAGCTGACCAACCCTCCACCCCCAAATGACTCTTTCGTTGTACTTTACCAGCCTGCCTCAAACCAGCATTTTCCAATCCTTGCAATGGCCGGACAAAGTGGCATTATCCCTGAAGATAGTCTCAGGTGAGAAATGAACTTGCTTGATAGAACTGCTATTCCTTAGGCCCGACAGATAGTACAACCAGGACTCTAGGTACAGGAGGCCGTAGGCGAGCTCTGCACTGGGATCTCAACCCCGTCACCTGTTTTAGCATTTTTTTTCTAACTTGCACAAAACTTTGAGATCATAATTTAGAAAACAGGTGCTTAATTGCAGCTAAATTATAATAGAGTATATGAAGGAATCAAGACATTAAAAAAATCTCAGTTTAGACCCTCAAAGAAAACCATTGTTATGATCTCCGAGCTTGGAAAAATGCACAAGAGAACATATTAAAACTGACGAACTGATTTCACTTAGAGAGACTTCTAGGAACAGAGTGAACCACTGATTTTAATTTGCCTAATTATCTTATGACAAGTGTCAAATTAAGATGACACTTAAAGATCTTCGGCATTAACTTAATGATGGAGAAGAGTGCTCAGTAGTCACTTCTCGGAAGGTAATGAGATGCTCATTTACAGAGAGATTCCAAGATGTTTTGATTCATTAAAACATTAAATCAAAAGCCCTCCTACGACCGGAACCCCAAATCAATGGAGCAACTTTAAGGCCACTTTTCATGCCTCACTTTGGCATGACAGCATGAGATTTTTAAAATCTTTAATACTTTTCACTTAGAGTTTTTAGTTACTTTATCCTAAAAGCAGAATTTTTGTTTTCTTCCTTTTAGCAGGAGTTCTTTAGCCAGTGACAAGGTATTCATAAAAATTGTTATTTAAAAAAAACATACTTCTGTGATCATCCATGCCTTTGTTTGCGACTTGAATCTCACTAACACGATTTTGGAAACTCCTTAATAAATAGTTTTATTCTTATTCCATAAATGCTCTTTTATTTGATAACATTAGCATCCAACTTAAATCTCAGAATTTTCTTCCACCATGGTTTGTCGTCTGCCATGTTAACGTCTTTTTGTTTCCACAAACATCCTAGGCATGGAAATACCTTAATACTGAATCTGAGGTTTTATATCAGTTTCCCCAGGCCCAGCGGTGACAGCGCGTCTGTCCAGGTCTGCCCTTCTGCTTTTCCCAGGATGCCATTCACATTTGTTTTTTACCTTGACCACACTGTACAGTGACATCCAAGAGCCCTTTCTACAGTGGGTGGTTTTGGTCTTTTTATACCTTTTTCTCAAAGTCACTGATGTTTGTCCCTGTTATATGTGTAGCATTGTAATGAGAGCCCACCAAATCCTGAGTGTCAGTTTGTTGTCCCTACTGTAGATGAAATAGTGAAGTAGAAAAACCTAGTAAATTCTGAATGCTTTTCCACATAGACTTATCTGGAATGTGAACATGACTCTTTGGTTACTAGTAACTGCTTAACTGTAGTCCTGAGTAGGTGCATTTTTGTCTGTCTCAATAAATTTTAATTTGTCTGCAGCGTCTGAGTGTTTGTATTTTATTAGCTTGGATGTGCACTCCCTAGGCCACGTCCACACATGAGCTCTGGAGAGCAGTACAGCTGCTCGAAGGGTGAGCCCCTCTGCCAAGGCTTCTGTACGTGGCAGGGAGGTCGGCCTGATGGTGGTCCTGGCTGTCCTGGCCCCTCTCAGCGAACCCTGGCACATGCGTGCCCTGTGCCCACACAGTCTAGAATCATATCACCCGACCTCTCTTTTTTCTGTTTTCACCTCTCTCAGGCTTCAACATTACTACGTAATCCTCACCGATAAGATTTCACTGTTGTCATCCTGCTTACAACCTTAACCATTTTCAATTCTGCCTATTCCTCCACGCCCCAGTCAGTTCAGCTGTTCTCTAATTCGGGGGGCGGGGGGTAGGAGAAAAAGAAAATCTCCTTTACAGGGATTCTGAGTTCTCTCTAATTCATGGATTAATATACCAGATGCATGTCAAATATCAGAAAGTACCCAAACTGGAACAGAAATTACTTCCTTTCCACCTTTGTGCACATTTAGGCCAGTGTGTCTATGACTTTATTATACCCTGAGTAATTTCACCATAGGCTGAGGTAGAATCTATCTTATGAATAATTTAATTCCTCTTCCCCATGGACTGGATTTTATAGACAATCCACAGATTGACAGTTCAAGGAAAGGTGCTTCATAAATTCACTAATATCAGGAGAACAATGGCCAATCTGAAGCCCCTGGAGTAGCTGCAGAGTACATTAAAGAGAAGTTGGCATTTGTGGACAAACTCCAAATTCCTCCCAAACCAGCAGCTGAACAGGTCAAACATCAAGTTTCCCCTCAAGCCGAGCCTTCACAGGTGTCGCCATGGTCTGTTAAAGGCCGGGACCAAAGGAAGGAGATCTGGAAGCCAGTTCCTCCATTTCAGACATGTTGTGTGAGCAGAAAGGTCATGGCCTGCCTCACAATTCTCAGTCTATTGTAAGATTTTCTTTGACAAATTAGTTCAAGGAAAGAGGAAGATTTCAAAATTTATCCATTAAGCTTTTACGGATTTTACTAGATTTATAAATTAATATATGTTGGATGGATGAATACCACGATAGGCAGATCCCCCATTCAGTTCTAATATAAATGAGAATAAAACCTGGTGCCTGCTCTGTGAAGTTATTATATCCTTGAAAACAAGTAAGTAAATGACTGTTACAATATAGGTTGATAGCGTCACTGACACCAATGGCTATTGCAGCCTTGTGTCAGCTTGTCTTTCTTCATTCCTTTTACCCATCATTCCTTGGTTTTCCTCCTACCTCTCTGGCCATCAGTTTTAGGTCTCTTGTACATCTTTTTATTCATCCACTTTTGTTAATATTGGTCTTCCCCAGGTCCGTGTCCCTGGCCCACTTCTCTAATTTTACATGCTTTTTTCTGGACAGTCTTATCTACAGAGCTGGTTTCCATCATCTCCTTCACTGAGAAACCCCTAAGCTATATCTCAAGTTTGGTTTCGACTTCCATTCCATCCTGAAATAATCACCTGCCATTTAGATAATTCTACTCAAATTTCCCACTGATACCTCAATTTCAAGCCATAAAAAAATCAAAATGACAGAATGAAACATAGAGTGAATATGCCTATGACACCAGGGATCAGAAACACTTTTCTTAAATGAGTTTTAACAAACATGAACCATAAGGGAACAAACATTGATAAATTTTCCTCCATCAAAATTAATAACACATCATAAAACAACTTAAAAGATATACAAGATACTAAAGAATACACTGATGACAAAAAACAGATGAAGGATTGGCTATAAAAAAATTTTTAAACTGCAAATTCCTAAGAAAAATATAGCCCAACAGACTAATGGGGAAAAGATAAAAACAAGTGATTCATAAAAGACACAAATGTGAAGGAAACCATGCCTGCCCTTACTCATGGTCAAAGAAACACAAATTAAAGCAATGATCTATCAATTTTCACTCAGAAAAAAATCTTGATCATGTTGAGTGTTGATGCAAGTATGGTACAAAGAACACTCCTGGACGCTGTACAGTCAGAACAGCCATGTAGAAGGCAGGTTGTCAATAGCTGTCAAAAGTATACACCCTAGGACCCAGTAATTTCACTTCTTAGTAACTACTCCTAGAGGGAAAAAAATCACTAATTTACAAACATGTAAAAGTATATTCATTGCAGTATCATTTGTTAGAAAAGAAAATCTGAGACAAAACTGCATATCCATCAGTGGGCACATAGGGTTACTCTATTCTCTGGAATGCTATGCAGCCATCAAAAAGGATGAAGTGATTCCATACACACTGACTTAGCAAAACTTCTAAAATATCAGCTGTATGAGGAGGAAAAAATCAAGTGATATATAGTGTATCAAATATTAAGTTAT